TCTTGATCAAAACTCTTCACAGTGTAGGGATAGAGGGTACATACCTCAATATCATAAAAGCCATCTATGAAAAACCCACAGCAAATATCACACTCAATGGGGAAAAACTAAGAGCTTTTCCCTTAAGGTCAGGAACATAGCAGGGATGTCCACTGTCACCACTGCTATTCAACATAGTACTAGAAGTCCTAGCCACAGCAATCAGGCAACAAAAAGAAATAAAAAGCATCTGAATCGGCAAAGAAGTCAAACTCTCACTCTTTGCAGATGATATGATACTTTATGTGGAAAATCCAAAAGACTCCACCTCAAAACTGCTAGAACTCATACAGGAATTCAGTAAAGTGGCAGGATATAAAATCAATGCACAGAAATCAGTGGCATTTCTATACACCAACAACAAGACAGAAGAAAGAGAAATTAAGGAGTCGACCCATTTACAATTGCACCCCAAACCATAAGATACCTAGGAATAAATCTAACCAAAGAGGCAAAGAATCTGTTCTCAGAAAACTAATGAAAAGAAACTGAGGAAGACATAAAGAAATGGGAAAACATTCTATGCTCATGGATTAGAAGAACAAATATTGTGAAAATGTCTATGCTACCTAGACACATTTAATGCAATCCCTATCAAAATACCATCAACTTTTTTCAAAGAAATGGAACAAATAATCCTAAAATTTGTATGGAACCAGAAAAGACCCCAAATAGCCAGAAGAATGTTGAAAAAGAAAAGCAAAACTGGCGGCATCACAATTCCGGACTTCCAGCTCTATTACAAAGCTGTCATCATCAAGACAGTATGGTACTGGCACAAAAACAGACACATAGATCAATGGAACAGAATAGAGAGCCCAGAAATGGACCCTCAACTCTATGGTCAACTCATCTTTGACAAAGCAGGAAAGAATGTCCAATGGAAAAAAGACAGTCTCTTCAACAAATGGTGTTGGGAAAATTGGACAGCCACATGCAGAAGAATGAAACTGGACCATTTCCTTACACCACACACAAAAAGTGACTCAAAATGGATGAAAGACCTAAATGTGAGACAGGAATCCATCAAAATCCTTGAGGAAAACAGGCAGCAACCTCTTCGACCTCAGCCGCAGCAACTTCTTCCTAGAAACATCGCCAAAGGCAAAGGAAACAAGGGCAAAATGAGCTATTGGGACTTCATCAAGATAAAAAGTTTTTACACAGCAAAGGAAACAGTCAACAAAACCAAAAGACAACCGACAGAATGGGAGAAGATATTTGCAAATGACATATCAGATAAAGGGCTAGTATCCAAAATCTGTAAAGAACTTATCAAACTCAACACCCAAAGAACAAATAATCCAATCAAGAAATGGGCAGAAGACAGGAGCAGACATTTCTGCAAAGAAGACATCCAAATGGCCAACAGACACATGAAAAAGTGCTCAACATCACTAGGCATTGGGAAATACAGATCAAAACCACAATGAGTTACCACCTCACACCGGTCAGAATGACTAAAATTAACAAGTCAAGAAACGACAGATGTTGGCGAGGATGTGGAGAAAGGGGAACCCTCTTACACTGTTGGTGGGAATGCAAGCTGGTGCAGCCACTCTGGAAAACAGTATGGAGGTTCCTCAAAAAGTTGAAAATAGAGCTACCATACAATCCAGCAATTGCACTACTGGGTATTTACCCCAAAGATACAAATGTAGTGATCCGAGGGGGAACGTGCACCCCAATGCTTATAGCAGCAATGTCCACCATAGCCAAACTATGGAAAGAGCCCAGATGTCCATCAACAGATGAATGGATAAAGATGTGGTATATATATACAACGGAATATTATACAGCCATCAAAAAATTTGAAATCTTGCCATTTGCAATGACATGGATGGAACTAGAGGGTATTACGCTAAGCGAAATAAGTCAATCAGAGAAAGATAAGTATGATCTCACGGATATGAGGATTTTGAGAAACAAGACAGGATCATCGGGGAAGGGAGGGAAAAATGAAACAAGACGAAACCAGAGAGGGAGACAAACCATAAGAGACTCTTAATCTTAGGAAACAAACTGAGGATTGCTGGAGTGGAGGGGGGGTGGGAGGGATGGGGTGGCTGGGTGATGAACACTGGGGAGGGTATGTACTATGGTGACCGCTGTGAATTATGTAAGACTGATGAATCACAGACCTGTACCCCTGAAACAAATAATACATTATATGTTAATAGAAAAAGAAAAAAAGAAAAACAATGGGGCCGATGCTGCTGCATATGGTACATGGGGGATACAGAGAGATGGGGAATAAGACTGTCCTCTAAGGCCAAAACCACAAAGTCCCATCATCATGGACCAAATCAGAGGGACAGAATAAGCCCCATGACAGCAGATCGTGAAATGGAACCCAACCGAAAGATGATGTCAGTTGGAAGTGTGCGTGCATGGGGGTGGTGGGGAGGTGCAGGGATGGTCAGCCAGGAAACTACAGAAGTCAGTGATGAAGTCAAACCCTGGCAGAGTCTGTCGAACTGACCCCAGGACAGCATGGGCCCAACAAGGCCCCTACGAACATCCAAGGGACCCAATTATCGTGGAGCCAGAGACCAGGAAACATTCTTGCTGCATGGTTAGCGGACTCACTCCATTACTCCATTTCATGCTCACTGAACCACCTCTAACCATCTTCCTTCCCACGTCACTTGCCTTAGAGAGAGAAAACATGCTTTTCAGGTTTGTCAGGCTAATGTGAGTTATCTGGCCTGGGAAACTGTTCCATGTCTCAAAGTGAATAAAGGAACTGGTGGTCTAGTCTATACATGAGCCTCTTTTGAGCTCTGTCGGTATGAGTCTTGGACTCTGGAATGCTGATTGCTCAGCACCTGGTCGGGGAGCAGTTGAGTGAGGACACCTGAGTGGCTGATTTCCCGAGGGGACTGGGTGCCGTGGAAGCTGACCCCGTATCCCCAAGCCCTTCCCAGGAGGTCTGATGCAGGGATGCATGCAATGGGCATGGAGGCATCTTGTAATCTGGAAAGTGCCCCCACATCACAACCCCTACTTCATCAGATAGGACATAAGTGCCCTAAGCCACACGAAGGGCTGTCACAGGAAGGGCTGAGTAAAGTTACCTGACAAAGGTGACCAAAGCCAGGCTGGGACTCAGCCTGCTGAGTCATGAGCTGGGGTTGCACTGGCCTCTGTTTTTTTCTGAGGGTAACTCTCGCTTTTAAATTCACACTGTCATCATCCGTGATTTATTTAACTGGCTTCAGCAACTCTCCTGCTCAGGGACTCTTAAGGGGATGATATTCCAAAGACTGCCCCACGGTTAAGCACTGTGTGCAAGCATGTGCAGTGGGGGAGGGGCAGAAAAGACACCCTCCTCCTTCACCCCCTGGAGTAAGAACCTCCGGTCCCACTGTAGAGGTTTATCAAGTCAAAAACATTTAAGAAGTGATTACAAATTCCCTACTGCTTGTGAATTTTACCAATGGTATCATCATATTCTATTTTTTTTTCCTGTATAATTTCAACCTCATAGCCATAACACTTTCTAGAACCACCCCTGAAGATATTTAGGGAGCATAAGAGAACAAGTTTTGCTTTAATACATGGGAGACCTTGGGATGCCTGGGTGGCTCAGTCGTTAAGCGTCTGCCTTTGGCTCAGGTCATGATCCCAGGGTCCTGGGATCGAACCCCGCATCCGGCTCCCTGCTCGGCGGGAAGCCTGCTTCTCCCTCTCCCACTCCCCCTGCTTGTGTTCCCTCTCTCGCTGTGTCTCTCTCTGTCAAATAAATAAATAAAATCTTAAAAAAAAAAATACATGGGAGACCTCTGTAAATGTCCATTTGTTCAGAGAAAAAATGGGCTACCTGAGGAAGCAGTGAAACCCCCACCACTGCGTGGTGTCCAATCATACACTGGCTAATGTTTTTGCAAGGAGGACATAGAGCAGATTTAAATCCTTGGATTGGCAAGACGACTACCCTTCAACATCTCTCTCAACTACCTGATTCTCCAAGTTTATGTCACCTACGACTATGTACCTGTCTTTACCTTCCATAAGCCCCACGCTCAAGGTCTGCCTTGATACCCATCTGAATTAACAGCATCTTAGGTTCGGAACCAAAAGCAGCTTGAGAGGTCCATATAATGTTAGTGGGTGAGGGTGCTACCACCGACATGTATAAAACAAGCTATCATAAATAAAAAAGGTACCAGCAGAGTCAAGAAACAGAGAAACAAAACGACTCCTCCTATATCCTCAATCCTCCAAAGCCCCTTTCCGTTTCTTTCTGGAAACACACACTCTCCCCTCTGCCAATATGCACACCTAGCTTTTCCCAGGGGTTAACATCATTCCTCCCACAACACGTACAAGTAACACAAAAACAGCCACGCGTTGAAGCAATGTACGCTCACTCTCTTGTGTCACCCCAGGTCAGAGGAATGCCCCCCAAATGGCTCAGTCCCTCCCCACCTCCCCCCACCCCCACCTTGACCACAGCACAGGCTTCCTGCACACAGAACAGCAGGGGCGGATGGGTCTTGAGGGACTATTCCAAGAGACGGGCTGAAGCAGCATCTACAGGACACACAGTGGGTTTGGGTGGGACTGAGGGTCGTTCCTGGGACAGGAGGGGACAGCTGCTAAGGAAACCGCCTCATCCACCCTCCCGCCAAACCCTCTTACTCATCATCACTTTGAACTTAAAGTATTTCCTAAGATCAAGACTCAAAGGTCCAGGTAGCAAAATGCAAGGATGGCAGGAGATGGAGCCCTGTCACCCATGGGACGCCAGCACGTGGAGCCATGGGGGTGACGAGGCCACTGGCCTCTACCTCGTCTGTCTGCCACAACTGTGGCCTCCCACCACTGCTGATGCTCTGGGCACACCACTCCCCAGACGAGGAAGGATTCTGTCTACGGAGCGGCCTAGCAGGACAAGGCATCCCATGCCTACCTTCCCTTCCCCGCTGCTCACCAGCTGCTGGGTCAGAGCCCCTTACCTTCTTCTTCTTCTTCAGAATCACTTTCACTCCATCCACTGAAACCATAATGCTCACCTTCTTCTTCTTGATGTTCTTGGCTTTAAACTCATACTGCAGGGGGAGGAGAGAAAGAAGCACAATCCAGTTAGGTCAGCGCACCTGCATGGCCCCGGCTAGCTCATGACCCGGAAGAGGGCCACAGACAGATTCTCGGGGGATGTAAAGGCAGGAGGGTGTCTCGGGGTCAGCACCCAGCCATCAGGGATGACCATGGAATGGGGTAATCCATCCTAATGAGATGAAGACCAAGCCTGCCTTCAAAACCTCATCAGAAACCCAGAACCTTCCCTCAAAAACTCATTCTGATGTTTAACGACCTCCACTAACAGGTTTTTCCTGTGTCTACGCAAATGCTGTGGAAACTCAATTCCATCTTCATTGAAGATTAAGAAGAGCTGGTACCAGTCTTCAAATCAGGGTTGTTGTTGGTTGTTTTTTTTTTTTACATATTAAAAAATTATGAATTCTAAGTTATTCTCCGTAAGTTCAAGTCCCAAATTCCTTTATCTGTAGGTCAGTTTCCAAGTTTACCCACAGCCCTATTAGCCTGAAATATTCTAGAGAATATTCTAGGAAGGATCTAATGATAGTTACAAGGGAGGGCACTGCCTCACAACCCCTCTTGCTGATTCAACCACAGACCTACCCTGCTGACAGAAAATGGCCTCATCCTTATCCCCAGACTTTTTTCCATTACATTTGCTCATTCCTAGCCATCTCTTATGCCTGTGCAGACATCTGTTATGGCTGGTGTAATTCTACGTTTTCCTCACTGAACTTCATTCTGAGCACTTGTCCAATTTATTAAAGTCATTTTCATCTGGTCCCCATCTTGGGAGCATCACTTAGCAAATTTCCCTGCCAAGCTAATGAAACATCTGGGCTACAGGTTAAACAATGATCATACAAGACCCAGAGCCAAGATCTCTACTCCAACCCACAGCTCCTCTTCTCTGGGACTTTTTATACCCAACATTCTCTCCCACCACACCACCAGCCAAGCAGCTCCTCACCTGCACATCTAGTACCTAATTATTTCTAACTAGTGTGTAGATAGAAATGAACCCAAGCCATCCTAACGAGATGAAAACATAACCTACTTTGAAAATGTCACCAGAAATCCAGAACCTTCTATTGGCCAATACTCTGATTTTAAGGAATCAACTCACAGCTTCCAAACCTGTCTGCATTCTCTCCCTTCCCATGAAATCTGAGCCGATCTTACTCTGCTGCACAGTCTGTGCTGATGCCCCCTGGCTGGCGGCCTCCTATGGACAAGGACACGACCTAACCGAAGCAAGATATTTTTCTTTATATCGTCCGGCCCTCAGCCGATGTGAGTTTCCAGTGACAGCAACATACATACATTACTGCCCACTCGGGTGGTCGCTCTTCCTACCCTGTCAACAGCTGTCCTTTTTACCAAGGGGAGCTTGAAAGAAAAGCAAACCAGAGCAGCAGACGTGCAGGAGAAAGAAAACGTCAAGCTCAGACTTTGCTTCGGAGCGTGTCTGACAGCACGGGAGAAGCGTGTTGGACCAGAGTGTGGCTCAGGGCCGGACCTCAGCCGTGCATGAGACCCCTCTCTAGGGGGGTGGCTGTCAGCTGGTGAAGGCTACAGCGTGTCTGGCATGTGCTTCAGGACCTGGCTGTGATCCGCAGCGGGTCCCCAGACTGTGCCTACTACTCGGGTACAGTGCTCGACAAACAGAAATTACCTCGGGTGGGAGAGCCAGCACGGGAATCTGCAGGTCAGCCCACTTTGGCTTCATGCCCACCGGGACAGGTGAACCGGCTACATCTGACCACACCTGCGTTTACGTCTGCTCACTGGGGCTTTCGGTCAACACAACCTTCCGCGGTGCCTCCCGTGGCCACAAGTCACTAAAATCAGGGCTATTCCTGCCAGCCAAAGGTGTGCAGAGGGGTGCATGTCAAAGAACTTGGGTGGGAGGTAAGAGCCTACGAGTCCCAGAAATGCCAGACATGGATGAAACCAGCCCTATACTGGTCAGTCCTCCATGGCTTATCTTTGGTTCCTTCCAGAAGTTCACTCACAAGCTCCACATACTTCCTCCTTCTGCTTTTCCAGCAGTAACATTAAGTATTAGGTGTCCACGTCTAGAAGGTACGACGACCCTCCCCCAGCCCGAGTCTTAAGAGAGCACACTGCCTGCTAAACCATCTTAGAGGTCCTCTATTTCCAGAAGAATCTGGTAGCTGATCACATCTTTCTTGTTGGGTCCACGTCTTTCTTGTTGGGTCTCTGGGACACTTTTAAGAATCAAGATCCCTCCTCCCCCACCGTCCCAGGCAAGGCTGGCAAGAGGCACCCGGCCAGCACCTGGCCTGCGTATCTGAAACATTATTTCTAGAGTTCGTGTCTTGACAAGCCATGGCTTTTAATTCCCCGGTCTTAAGAAGTGAAGATGCAACTCAACGTCCTCTTCGGAACTGGAACACGCCTCTCATCCGATCTCTGTGCACAGCCTCCCAGATGACTCTTCCAGGCTCTGTGGGCACAGGGCCCACCCGTGAAAGCATGACCAAATGGCTGCCCCAGAACCTCATTGACGGTGACAATGCAGGTGTCCCTCCTGACAATAGCTGGTGGAATGCTCCGGAGTGCTTCCACACAGAGAGGGGCAAGACAGGCATGAAATGGGCCCCGTTATGGCTGCCAGTACCACCCGAGGGCCGTTTAGAAGAGCTCGTGGGCTGGACGCGTTCGGCCCCCCCCTTCCCCCGGCCTGGTGCGCAGGTGTCTCAGACCCTTGCCAGCCCAAGAGGAAGTACTCCAATTGCAGGTCTGTTGGAAACTACAGAAATCAAAGGAAATCGAGTATCTGAACATGTGTAAATATTATCCTGAAACCGTTGGTTTATATGCCAACTGCGCTTGACTTGGACAACCCAGGTTATTGTGCTCACGGGGGGAGACAAGATGGATCTGGAGGCAGGAGACATAATGGGAAGTGACCAGGAGAACAGAGGGCAGGGGCTCACAGGGACGAGCCCTCCTTTTTCCCAGGCTGTGCTGCTCTGGGGGGGCAGGCAGGCTCGGGAGGAAGCATCTGTGTCCCGCAGGATAGACATCGAGTCTGCTCAGGCTTTGCCAGGGGGCGAGGAACAAACAGGCCCGTCGGAGCCACCAGCCTCCCGCAGAGCCCCGGCCAGCTCTGGAGGCCACGCCAACAAGCCTGGCTCTCACCCTCCGCACAGCCAGGCTGACCTGATGTGTTTGCTTTGCCAGATGGGGCCCCACCACAAGGCCAGATTAAGCCCTCCAGGAGCTGACCTTTTAGGGAACAAAACAATGCGTGTCCTGGACCACAAGCCGCTGATGAGAAAGACCGCGGTAACGAGCCAGCAACCTGGAAACAGAGCCTGGGGACCCTGTGTCGGAACGGCGTGCGTGCCAACCAGCGGGGCCCGCGAAGGGGGTGCTGGGGAGGGGGAGGTACTCAGGGGCAACGGGAGCCAGGAGGAAAGCTCAGAAAGCCACAGGGGATAATACCGCTGGAAGGCTGAGGGCGCCTGAGAACAGAGCATATCCTGAGTCCCTGGTGCTTCCCTGTCCCCCCGCCACCGCCCACCCCCCAGGTCCCGGGACCGCCTCCTGACCCCGTGTGTCTCCGTCGCCCACGCTGGGCGTCTGCAAAGGGGCAGCAGGGGTCTGCACCAACTGAGTGTATCTAACGGAGGGACAAGCCCCGCCTGGGCTTGAGGCTGCACTGCAGACGCAGAAGTAACAGGTCTCTCTCAGGAGGCGGGAAGGGTCGGGGCTATACCCCCCCCAACCCCGCACACAACAGTCTACTTCCATGACAATGTCGAGCTCCCTGAAGAACCCCTGGATTTTGTACAGGGTCCCTGGTTCCTCAGTCACCTTGTCTACTAACGATTTGTCTGGGGATGTGCTCTCTCACCCGCAACATCCAAAGCTGGCCCCACACGCTCACTGGGAAATCCATTTTGCCCCACTCCTCCCCACTGTCCCCCCAACCCCCAGTGCCTACAGTTATGAGTCAAGATGCCCAGACATGACTTCAGCAGGAGAGGAGATTCAGTTTGCAAAAGCAGATAGGGATGCTCTTGCTGGGCGAGTCCTCGGCTTACATTCGGCTGTGTTCGCTGTCCTAGAACGGGTCTGCCCGACTTCCTGGGAGTGATGGCAGGGAACTGAACGGCAAGCTCTGGTCGTGCCATCGGGCATTTTCATCACGTTCTGCCGGTAGTCTCGGTTTCACGAGCGCAAACCCATCTCTACAACCAAACCGTAAGCATCTCAACCAAAGGCACGGCCTTACTTACGGAGGTAGTAAGAACCTGAGGATGCCCATGGCCATAGCGGCATCCCTGACAAGAGCCAAAAGGTGGAGGCAACCCAAGTGCCTAAGAGTAGCCAACTGCAGAGAGACAGAAAGAAGGACGGTGGCTGTCAGGGCCTGGGGGAGGGGAGGGGTAGGGAGGAGGAGTTCGTGTTTCAGGGATATGGGCAGGGTTTCCGTTCTGGAAGCCAAGAAGGTTGGCAGATGGATCGTGGTGATGGCTGCAGGGCAATATGAATGCCATATGCAAATGCCATAGAGCGGTTTTTAAAGAACGGTGGAAGCGTTAAATGTTATGTATATCTTACCACAATAAAAAGATGAAAATCTGTAAACACAGTACAAAAATACATCCCTCATCACGCGGATCCACTTTAGCTCTGCTTGCCCGTTTCTGTCCCTCTCCCACGTGCACGTGAAACATGCCACCCTCTTCCATTCTTCCGGTTGCTATTTCCTGTGCCTGGGATGCACTCCCCCCACCATCTGCTTGGTGAGCTCCTGCTTCTGGAATTATCCTGGGAGCCGTCTGCACAGCAAAGCCTCACAGGTCCGCTTCCTGCTTCCTCCCATGGGGCTGGGCCATCAGCATGGATATGACAGCCATCCGCAAGCCTCTAGAATCATTCACCACCGACTGGTTGTTTACTTCCCCACTAGGCCAGGCCCACCCCCTCGAGAACAAGAAATACAACCTATCTGTATCCAAGAAAATAGCAC